AGGATCATGTGATACTCAAGCCTGTTAATGGGAGGTTTTTGAGTACTTTGAGGGTTTTATTTTTTCAGAAAAGATTCTTCAGAAGTTTCCTTTTGGGTGAAGCATTTTGTTTTCAGCTTATGATTGCTGGAGTCATTGCAGAACTCTTCCTTTAAATGTGCATAAAAACTTAGCCAATTAAGCTGCTTCAACATTTCAAGCGTAATCACTTGAAATTACTTGGTTTTCTGCTTAAATATTTTAATTGCTTGACCAATCAATCTTCTGAGCTTGTAGCTAACTCACAGGAATGCAATGAGTTAATCTCACCCGTAAGGAGAACCCAGCGTTCTCGTAGGCATTCCTGTACATGCATGGAGTTGGCAGGCTCCCAACAGGGCATTCTTTATCTAACTTGGCTACTCAGTTGCCTGTCTTAAAGCCAGATCACCAGGCTGTCACTCTTCAAGGTTAAAGTTTCTTTTATCTTGTAGGCACCAAAAACACCAAACAAGGACAGGTCTTTGGAACACAAAAATATCAATGCCATGTTTTCGAGACCTTTAAACTTAGGTTTAAAGGTTTAAATATCCATTTAAACCTTCCCCAAATTTAAAGCTCGTATTCACTAAGGGATAGTAGGAGAATCCCATAGAATTCACCAGGGTTAATTTGAGACTTTTCCAGGTGTTTATTCACTGGTGAAATCTTACCTGGTTTAAACTGTGCTTTTCGTCCATACTAAGATTTATCTGGAAATGGGATGTGTCTTGCTCAGTGACAACAGGTAACCAGCAGCAGTTATCATTTCTCAGCGAGACCTAAAGTAATGATGCTTTAATGTAGCTGAGGTACATACCATCTAAACACACACACACACACACACACACACACACACACACACACACACACACGTGCACACGAGCCTTGCCTTGTCACCCAAGTTTTGAGAGAGGGTTTCACTGTGTTGGCCTGGCTGTCCAGGAACTTAATCCGTAGATGAGGCTGCCCTTGAAATCACGGAGATCCATCTACCTTTGCCTCCCAAGTGCTGGGATTAAGGTTGTGAGCAACCTGAAATTTAAATATATTTTTAACTGTGAAGACATTCACATTTAGCTAGGTGTGGTGGCGCACACCTTTAATCCCAGAGAAGCAGAAGCAGGTAGATTTCTGTGCGTTTGAGGCCAGTCTGATCTACAAAGTGAGTCCAGGACAACCAAGGCTACACAGAGAAACCCTTTCTGAAAAAACAAAACAAAAGGAAACAAAATTACATTTGATGGATTCCTCTGTGCTTTCATGTTTTTGTTAGTATTATTCTACTTTTTGTTCAGTTTATAAACTACGTATTCCAATTATGATAATTATTCTCCTTCTAAATATTTCTTATTGCTTTGCTAAAGAGCTCAGGACAGCATCTAAAATAAATGACATGCAAAACTTGCTCTAAATTTAATAAATATTATTTTGAATGTGCTTGACAATTTGAGGTCATCATAATGGAGAAGTTAGGATCCCAGCACTCAGCCAGTGGAGCAAAAGGATAGATAGTGTGTTCAAGGCTAGCCTGAGCTACATTGAAGGATGTTGTAGCAAAGAATAAGAAAAAGAAAAAAAGAGAGAGAGAACTTGTTTAAGGTATTTATGGCTGGGTTTGGTGATGCACATCTTTCATCCCAGCACTTGGGAGGCAGAGGAAGGCAGATCTCTGAGAGCTAGAGGCCAGCCTGGTCTACAGAGCTAGTTCCAGGACAGCTAAGGCTACACAGAGAAACCTTGTGTAAGCAGAAATTTAAAAACAATATTTTTTGAACAGGTTTATTGAAACATAATTCATATAATACCAATCAAACTATTTAAAACCTACAGTTTAATGGTCTTAGTGAAGTCATATGTAAGGGCAACCATTACCATAGACAGTTTCTGTTACTCCTCACCCCTTAAATCTTTAATGCTATGCCTACCCTTGAGTAATCACTACTTCACTTTCTTACTCCGTTTGCCTTTGTTGGACTTATATAATAGAGAAATACAGTGTGTGAGGTTTTTTTTGTAATTGGCTTCTTTCATCTGGTAAACTGGATTTTGAATTTGATGAAAACATTTTCAGGAAGTATTAAGAGGGATTTCTCTGTGTGTGTGTGTTTGTGTGTATGTGTGTGTGTTTTAAATATCTCACATGGAGTTGTCAGACTTGTTAGATTGAGGAAGTCACTCCTTTAACATGAACCAATCAACTGTGGCCTGCAAGACAGGTGCCCTCCCTAGGCTCTAACTCTAGACAGGGAAGCGGGTCATTTGAAAACAGCCCTGGCAGAATATGCTTGAGCAGCTACTAGTTATTTCCCTTGTGGCTGTGACAAAATCCTCAACAAAAGTAATGTAATAAAGGGCTTATTTTGGCTCACAGTTTAAGGGTGCAATCATCATGATTGAAAGGCTTGGGGTATGAGAGGGAGACGGCTGGTCCTATTTCATGTGCTTCCAGGAAGCAGAGAGAGAGAGAGATGAAAGCAGGTGACTGGCTTACTTTCTCAGTTTTATTCTGTCCAGGAGCCCCAAACCATGGTGCCGCTGCCCACACTGAGTGGGCTGTCCCTCCTCGCTTAGACCTTTCTAAAACTGACCTCAGAGACATGCCCAGAGGTGTGGCTCCCAGGTCATTCTAAATCCAGCCACACTGACAACGAAGGTTACTTATCCAGGACAGAGCAAACCAGTGACTGGGAAGGTGGCAGACATAATTAAAAACGTCTTCCTAACTAAGGTAGTAGAAAACCTCCTTTGCCTGCGGCCTATGAGCCTCTGAATCATGAATGAAGCTGGACACAGAATATCTCTCCGCTGTCTTGGGAAATTGAAGTAGAAACTAGAAGGTTTAGGGTTGTTTTCTTTTCTTTCTTTCTTTCTTTCTTTCTTTCTTTCTTTCTTTCTTTCTTTCTT